TATATATATGTAGGCTACAACTAACGCAGAAACCGGATAGGAAGAACGAAAAACGTATGACATATGCAATTTCTGTTGAATAAAAGATCGACTTCGTACTATAGGTAAAAGCTACCTCTATTTCTTCAATGCTTACTATGGGACTCTTTTGAACAACTTTGATGTTGATGCGGCTAAAATCATACGCTCCATGAAGGATAAACGCTGAAATATCGCAAGCGAACATTCTTCTTGTAGGCTATTAAGAGTTATACATCTTAAAATGTTCCTAATTTTAACCATAGGTTCATAGAAGTGCTATAAACTACGTGCTTGGAGCTCGTCGGGCGCCGTTTATCAAAATAAAAACTCAAAGGTTGGCTTCTTCAATTGAAAAGATTTATTGTGTATTGGTATAATTATCTAATTATCATAATACTGCGTAACTTCATAGATCGCGGACGATCGAAAGACACTTGATAAAAACCAGCATTTTGGTTGATAGCGGTTCGGTGAGCAGACAGTCTTCGCAATGTTCGAAATACCAATATGTAGACGTTCGAAACGGAGTTCTATTTTTATATGCAAAGGTAATGCTTTAGATATGTTATAGAATATAATCAACAAATAGTCTTAATACGGTCAGATCTTCCGGGTAGCTGAGATTTCTGGTTGGCGTACTGATTTTGCCAATGCTCACACGGATAAAAATGCGAACACATTGTTCTCTCAGATCACATGATCTGGTCGGCTAAACGTGAATAAGGTCTTCGAGCCTGCGAACTTACCAAGCTGCCATATAGATAGAGTACCGGCTAACGTCGAAGCTGCCGTTCATGCCTTAGTTAGGCAGCTGTCCGCTGCTGGCGCTCTAGTCTCTACGCTGGAAAGGGTCGCCGATCCTTGCAGGACGGTTGTATGCTACAGCATGAGGTTGAAGGAATAGGCTGAGCCTTTATCGTATCTCTTTCTCACATTTAGTTCGCATCTGACGCTAGACGAAGAAGTCGGCACCAATAGCAGTAGAAACAGCATTAGCACGCTATGATGAAGGGATTGTGTCCGTGAAGTTCTTGTGACCAGGCGAAAAACTCTGCGGGAACAGAGCTGATCAGTCGTAGCTTGCTTTTCATCAAAAGCGTTCCGTGTCACGTAAATGCGCCAGCCAAAAATCAACTTCTTCAGGCCTCTGCTGTGCGACTTTGAGAAACTTTTAAGATTAAGTGCATATGTTCAGTGTGCGCACACGTGTACAGATATTTTCCCTCTATAAAAATGAGCTTCGCTTTAAGATGTGACAACAAGTAGTGCCAGCGATTTCCAACTGTTTAAACCTAACAATATTGTACACTGGTGCTTTTTTATTTCCATTAAAAAGTAGATTCTTTGGTGATTGATTATCCTCGCTAGCAAACAACTAGAGGTTTTCTTAGGTCTGCGTTCGCAAGTGATAAATCACCTACTAGTGACAATATGCAATTAAGAACGGGTAAGGATATATCTGCATTGACTCTGCTTACTACTGACAAGATTGCCGCCTTAAGGACGGCGGCCATATCAACTTTAGTAGCGGGCACTGCACAGGCGCGAAAAGATAGTAGTCTATTGAAGCTTGAATTTGATGAACGTTATGCGTCTCTAACAGAGAATGAATGTCTGGCTGCACAGAAGGGCTGGAAAGTCGAAGCTTTAGCAGGTGAGTTAAGAACAAAGGTATTATACTTTAAAACCTTAAATAAAACTACTATGATAAGTTGTGAAGTCGCCACAGTTGGGCCTACTTCTAATGCCGTAAGGCAACAAGTAGATAACCGACTGCGTACGGACCGAGATACAATTATCCCTGAGTTTTTTGAGAGCAATAATCCTATTTACGGCTAACGCAAGTCGGCTCGATATATAGAATACTAGGCCTCTTAGAGTTAGCCGCAATCATCTGCTCCCTGTCATCATTGCTATTCATTATTTGACCTAATATAAGATACAATGGATAAGATACAATAAATGCAGCTCGTACACTGATCTCAACTCTGTAATCTCAGTGTAGAAAGCCGAAAAGAAAAACGACTTTCTTTTTCCTTGGTATCTCGTTCCCTACGATGAGTGTACACCTCGTACCTCAACTAGACTTCGAAGTCGCTTAATTTTTATAGTTTACTATATGCATATATGCCAATTTATAACATTACCTCCCCCAGAAGGTGTGTATCGCGTAAGCTTACTGAAAGCGAGACACTAACAGAAGCGAGACTTAAAGATTCCTTTTTTTCTGTTACTGATTGGTATCTTTCTAGCTTAGCAGCATAATGTGTAAATGATCCGGAAAATAAACTAGTAGCCAATGGTCTATACGATACGTAGTACGATACGATAGTAACAACTACCCATGCGGTGAATAGTTTTTTAGAAAGTATATCACGCTTATCTGTGCCTCGAAAGCTAAGTTGGGGCATAAGTTGGGGGGGGGGGGGTAAAGCTAGGGCATCTTCTTTATTTAAGAATCCGACATCCAACGTAAAACACACTTTACATCAATTGCTATACATGGAGGAGTGTGAGTTTCTTACCAGGCAAACAGTCTTACATTGTCATAGCCGGTGATCAAGCACCCACCGTTTATGCCCGACATTAAACCAATTCGCCTTACATTTTACACATACTAAAGATCTATGTAATGCGCCATTCAGTACAATCAAGAACGCTTTGCAGATTAAATTGTTCATAATTCAAGCTCAATGGGGCGTTACGCTAGGCAGGTAGTCTCTTTTGTTCATCGAAATCAAATAGGCAAAAAAAAAAAGGCAGCGATATAATCCATTTAACTTCATCAGTTACCAGTCCTATAGATTGTTGACATTATCACCTACGTAAAGTATGAGTCCAGTAAATAGAACGATGATGGTAAGGCAATATTGGTTAACTTTATCAAACCGGATGGTTCTTTAAATTTATTATGCAGTGAATATTTAGGACGATGTCCCTTTAGACCTGAGCAGTTATGGCCACAGTAAGCAGAGACCTTTGCTGAGCGGAATGTGAGGTTTTTAGAACGCTTTTTATAAATTTGACAATAGAGCGAAAGAAGTGAAGTGTGTCCGATGACAATCAATACGACCAAATATTGTTCTAAAATATCTTCGATTCATCACTTTATACTTCATATGTTTTTTTTAGACATAAATCGTCCTTCAGGTCAAGTGTCCTAAATGACAAGTTACGACATAGATAACTAGAGCTTGGATAGGATGAATTATAACCGTTAGTTCATTACGTTGGGCCAAGGCTGTCGGTTCCTGAATGGAGACTGTTGTGAATTGAAGTAGATATTGTTAGAAATGAGTTGATTGCCTCAGATTCTTAGCTAGTCGTACCCATTTGTTTCCTTAAATAGCGATGCAGCAATAAGCCCGTTGGTAGCTTTCCTACGAACATTCTCGTACATGGACATTACATCATCTCAAATATGCATGATCGGGCATCAAGTATTTGCCCCTTATGATTACCTTAAACTTTCTGCAAAACAAAGCTTACGAAGGCAATATGCAAATATGAAGAGCAATACTTCACCTTATCGAGGGATACAGGAAGATAAGTCATCCTTGAGAGAGCTTGTGGTACATTGATTTTTCCGGTTGTGGCTAGGTTTACGGATGAGACCTTCTACGTGTGCAGATATGGCATCAGACTTCGTCAGTGTTTATCTGTCATGTTCTCCAAAACCGCAAAAAAATGTTTATTATTATCTTCTCAATAGCTTGGAGGGAAGAACTGCAAATGTCGTACATGAAGTGTTCACATAAAGGCTTGACGGTTATAATCGCCAATCAACATTTTCCGAGCAAAAATAACTGTCTCGTCTGGTACGAAGAATTTAAGGCTTGCCATGTGGTCCTGGATTTTGAAGTATCTACTTCGACATAAGTTAACGTCCATTCTAGATCGAGCAGCTCCTACATGAAAATAAGTTTACCGTAACGTGATTTTTATCTATGGTTTTACGTGCTGTGGACATTGTGTGTTGTGTAAACTTGGATGAACATGCGTTAACACTGCTAGCGTGACATATGATTCTCCAGATGCCAGAATTTTGTTGTAAACGCACTAAAAAGGACTACTCAGCTATAGCATGATAGGAAATCACTTCGGCTATGAGACATAAGAATAATTTCACTGGGCTTGATAATGGGCATGATAAACACAAGCCGTTCTGCCATGTTTGAACGCCATGTGCGAGGCGACACAAGGTGCTTTGGAGGGCTGAATCTCTTTAATATCGGCAAGCCGTGCCTTGAGGTTGGTAACACGTATGTAATACGTACTCTGCTGTTCCCTGTAATGCCAACAAGGGGCATTACAGCCTTAGCGGGCTGGACACGAAAGCGCGTGTTGCCAAAAGCATCGAACTCTTTAGACATAGTTTGATCGTAGTAGGACAATGTGTTTCGCATCTCCGGGATGGTGCAGTAGTAATGTACCGGTTTACTTAGCGACGCACAGTTCGACACCGAGTGGAAACACGTTTGATTTCGTACTGAAGCCCTAATGGCGACACACAGTGCAAAAATTCTAAACATTGCAGTGCATGATTTACGAATACCTTTGCCACTCGCCTAGAGGCACAAGTACGTATTAACTGCATGATCTGCTAGATGAGAACCACCGAGTCCTGAACAAAGCATCGTAGGACTAGGTCAAAATAACAACGCAATTAAGTGAGACTAAAAGGTATATGAAACCTTCTTCGTCAGTCAACAACAAGCAGTCGGCTAATTGATCTGTCCCTTGATGAGTTATCTGTGATAACGGTTAACGGGCTTGTTGAATATCCCTGTCGGAATCTAAAGACAAAAGCGTAACTATACAAAAGGAGATCTATTCCGTACTTTTCATGCTAAATAAGACTGTAGCCACGTGCTAGGATCTTTTCTATGTACCTGCAATTAATCGATAATACTATTCCCTTCCAATGAAAGGTTGAAAACTCTTTTCTCCAACAGTATTAGACATTTGGGAAACCTGGTATTCTACCTCCATTGATCTTGGCCCCTGCAACGATAAAGCATCTGTTTGTTTCTATTAATCATTAACTAAGATGCATAGGGATTTATTAAGTTTTTATTGCTAAATTGCCCTTTGCCTACTTGTGTCGGACTACTGCAATACATGTCCTACGGGTGATAAACACATTGACGTTATCAGATAGCGGGATCCCTTAGAAACATGACTCCGACAAGAAGATGAGCAGGACTTTCTTAAATGTGTTTGGCCTAATCTACGGATATTCAGCTGAATGTATTAAATTGTAATTAAATAGAAGCGCATCACTGTATCGGCTCGTTTTGTACACGTTTAAAGCTATTCAGTTCTAGACAACTAAGCTGCTCAGTAAATCACATAGGCTTTAGTCTAAGAAGCCTTCGTGTTTAATCTACCTAAAACTTGATCGCTTTTTTATTATTATTCAGTCCATAAAATTAGGAGTCAAATGTATCGAGATGGTATAGAACTTTACTGTTACTGCCGTTTGGCTGAAGATTTTCCTTTCAATTGCATTGACTGTCTGCAGCTGGCTGCGATTGACGTCTGCTCAGTGGAGAGGCTAAGTGTCACAACCGTTGCGGACGAAGAAATCCGCTCAGGCCTGTTAATTGTATAGAAAAAGGAAAGGAAAGCAAAAGCTTTTACATAGCCAAAACACAATTAAATAATAATTGTGGACGCGATTAATAAATAAGCCTTAAGTAGCAGCTATCCTTTGTTTGTTAGCTACCGTGATCAAGTTATCTTGAAACGGTGTAGAACGGAAAAAACGCGCTAATACGTTTTCCCTTTCTTACGGGTTTCGGTATTGGGGTATTGTCAGCTATCTAATGAAGACCTATCATGCCGAATTGATGCCTATAATTATCGACGGTAATGACAATGCAAGCCCTGTCGTGACTTCAATTGATGGTAGAACTCATTGCCACTTACGATAGATGTTGGCGTATTCCTCGATGTGCGACTGGGCGTTTGTCATTGGTCGACCAGTTTAGATAAAGAACTGACTCCAGACACATTATAAGCCATATAACGTTTACTTAATACCTTGTGAAAGTTTGTATCAAGTGAATCTCGAACGGTCGATCATTTGGAAAAAATTAAATTCATATTCAAGCACATAGAACTCGATCCTCTTCGACGATCCTATATACTGGTTCGTTGGCCTACTAGAAGTTAACTTCTCGTCAGATTATTCCGAGCGTCTGCTCGAACCGTGCAGCTTTGACCAGCATTAAATTTCTGGTACTGGCAAACTATTACAGCCTACGCAACACAACGAGATCATAAGCTTTCCGGCCAATGTGTCCGTTTCCAAACGAGTCAACACCTTCGGACGAAATCAGAATGAAAATCCAGCTTGCATCAACATTTTTGACGGTCTATGCCGACGGAAAAGGTCCTCCGTGGTTTCAACATGCTCAAATTCAAGCCTGAACTTGCAAATCGGCTTAGCTATTGTCTTAAAAATGAAATCATACAGCATGGTCGTTTTGCGTTCAGTTTGTTCATGTTGCATAAATAAAGCCATCTCAGACTTTGACACCCAGCAAACTCTTCGTCACCGTATTAACTTGTGTTTGCCGATTTCCTAGTGAATACTCCTTGCGCCTCCTGTATGTATGAAGTCCGCGTCTCCGAACTTGCAAGACCTCT